GTCTACTTCCAGTAATATTATACCAGATACATGTAATATAAGAATCTTATATCTTTATTTTTTCCCTCCTTTTTACTCTTGTTATCAAATATTTTACTTATATATATATATTATTAGCCTCAATGTATTTCTATTTTTTAAGTAGTTAAATCATCTTTTAGCAACATTTTAATATGGGTTTTAAAAAAGTCTTTTATGGCTATTCATCATACCTGCCATGTCAGCACTCTTTATGCCTTTTTGTAAGTCAAAGCTTCTATCTGGTATCATTTCTCTTTAGCCTGATGAGCTCCTTTACTGTTTCTTACAGTGGACCTCAGCTGGCAATGAATTCTCTTATCTTGTGTTCATCTTCAAATACTCTTTATTTTATATTCATTCTGAAGGATATTTTCACTGGGTATAGAATTCTAGGTTGACAGTTTTTTCTTTCAGCCTATTAAAGATGTCCTTCCATTGTCTTCTGGCTTGCAATTTTCTGACAAGAAATCAGTGATCATTCTTATCTTTTTCCCTCTATAAGTAGTGTGTCTTTTTCTCCCCCCCTCCTGGCTGCTTTTAAGATTTTTCTCCTTATTATTGGCTTTCATCAATTTGATTTTAATTTTATTTTTGTGTGGTTTTCTTTGTTTTTGACTTGCCTAGGACTCATTGAGCTTATTGGATCTGTGGGTTGATAGTTTTCATCATACTTGAGAAATTTTGACCATGATTTATTCAAATATCTCCTCTTCTGCTTCTTTTGTGCTTTAAATTACATTTATTTTATGCTGTCTGAAATTTTCTCACAGTTCACAGAAGCTATGTTTTTCCTCCAGTACTTCAGTTTGAGTATATTCTGTTATGTCTCCTAATTTTTGGATCTTTTCTTTCTCGTTGTTTATTCTGCTATTAAGCCCACTCAGTGAGTTTTGAATTTCAATTTTTTTTTCATTTTGGAAAATCCCATTTTATTTTAAATTATGTCTTCTATCTCTGTCCTAATTATGTTTATGTTCATGTTATTCTTTGAATTTTTTTTTTTTTTTTGAGTTGGAGTCTCACTCTGTCGCCCAGACTGGAGTGCAGTGGCCGCTCCCGGCCACCGCAGCCTCGACCTGCTGGGCTCCAGCGATCCTTCTGCCTCAGCATTCCGAGTAGCCGGAATTACAGGCACGTGCTATCACGCCGGGCTGATTTTTTGATTTATTGTAGAGATGAGGTCTCGCCAAGTTGCCCAGGCAGGTCTCGAACCCGCGGGCTCAGGCAATCCACTCACCTCAGCCTCCCAAAGGCGCGGGATTACAGGCTGAGCCACCGAGCCCGGCTCTTTGAATATTTTTATAGTAACTGTTTCAAAGTCCTTGTTTGCTAACTCCCTCATCTATATAATTTCTGGGTTTGTTTTTATTGATTAATTTTTTCCCAGATTATAACATTTTTCTCCCTTTTCAATAGCAATTAATTTTTGACTGGATGCTAATTTCATGAATATGATATTATTGAGTATCTGGCATTTATTTTCTTCCATTACACTCATGTTAAAGTTTGTTTAGGCAGCCAAGTTACTTGTGGATCAGGTAGATGCTTTCCAGGCTTGTTTTTAAGCTTTATTAGGGTAGCCTTTTTCTTAATATTAGTTAGCTCTGTTAGTAAGATATGACCTTCCTAGAGTCTGTATTGACTACTTCAAGCCTTCAGTGAATTTTCTCTTATCTGGCTTGTTGAAACTTGAATATATTTCAGCTCTGTATGAGCTTTGGGAATTGTTTAGCTTATAGAACCCCCATAGTTTATCTCTATCCAGTCTTAAGGAGTTTTACCTTACAGATATTTTGGTTAGTAAAAAGCCAAAGACCTAAAAAGACTCCCGCTCAGATTTCCAGAGCTCTTTCTTTGCATGGTTCTGTCTTTCTCAGTACTCTATTCAGCAAATTCCAGTCACATGATCTTTCCACATTTCACCTCCTGACTCTTCACCTTAACAAAACCACCTTATTTACTTATCTTTCCCCTTCTAGAGCCAAGGTCTGGAAATAGCTTCCAGGAAGAAAACCGGGTGATTGTGGGGATCACTGCATTACTTCTTTTCTTTCAAGGATCACTATCCTGCACTTGTAGTCTAATTTTGAAAATAGTGTTTCATATATATTTTTTAGTTTTCTAGTTGTTTATGATGGAAGGTTATGGTGGAATTATTTCATCATAATTGAAGGGAGAATTCTTGTCTGCTGTGTTTTTATGTTATGTTTTTTGTTTTTTTCATGTTTTGTGTTTTGTCATTATTTTACTATATGTCACAAGATAAGATATGTGGATTGTCCTTATATCATAATAAATTATCATGCTTTTCCCAATTACAAATACCTGTGTCCTATCCTTAGACATTTTGATTCAGAAGTTCTAACTTGGGTTCCAGGTATCATATTTTTAAAACCTTGTCAGGATTTTTGATACACAGAAAAAACTAAGACTGACTATTCTAGTACGCTTAAATCCAGTGTGGCTTGGATGAACTTAAATGGATTATCTTACAACTTATTCTTTACTCAGTGACACACAGTAAAAATGGAATGAAAAATTATATAATTAGGTGTAGGACCTCCTGAATATCTTCCACTAGCTACTTAAAAGCATTCATTTCTGACAGAGCAGAAATCTTTAGAGCCCTGATCAAGTACTATGGCCGGTATGTATTCTGATTTGTTTTGCTCATGCCATAGCTGTTGTTATATATTTTGAATATTACTTCTGCCAATAAGTGTCAAGAACTTCTAAAAAGCAATCTGTAACCATTCTTATAATACATTGATTAAGAGATGTTTAGCAAGCCGGGCTCGGTGGCTCAGCCTATAATCCTGCGCTTTGGGAGGCTGAGGTGAGTGGATTGCCTGAGCCTGCGGGTTTGAGACCTGCCTGGGCAAATTTGCGAGACCTCATCTCTACAATAAGTCAAAAATTAGCCGGGCGTGGTAGCACGCGCCTGTAGTTCCAGCTACTTGGAAGGCTGAGGCGGAAGGATCGCCGGAGCCCAGCAGGTCGAGGCTGCGGTGGCCGGGAGCAGCCACTGCATTCCAGTCTGGGCGACAGAGTGAGACTCCAACTCAAAAAAAAAAAAAAAGAGAGATGTTTAGCAGATTTTATCTTGTGTGCCAACTCTGTTTTGATTAGTGATGACTAGTTATAGCACAGTGGTAAGGATTCTGAGGCCAATTCTGGACTCAGTAAAAAGGAATGCTTAAATGGATTAGTGATGTCAGTCATGAGTTTGGGTGCAGAGAAATGAGGCACGTGTCTCATGTATTTGCAATTCATCCTGTGTTAAAGGCTGTCTTTCTCTAAGTTTCTCTAATTGTACAGGAAAACTTGTTGCCACTCTATATTTATCTTGACTTTACCACATAGGGGAAACAAATTTTATAGTTATGAAATGCTTATACCCAAGTTATTTATTCATTGATTTGTTTACTCATTCATTTCTTCTTTCTCTCTTTCTAAAAATATAATCAATATGATATCATGTTGCTTTAGAGTTGTGATCTCTGGTCTGTACGTCTTACCTTCTTTTTAAATAAATAGACAAGTTTCACATTTTTAAAGGTCAGTGGCTCTGGTAACTATATTTTCCTGAATTCCCAATTTTATATATATAAGTTTATACATGGTCTAACAATAGGATAGAAGATTTGAAATTTGGATATTTCTAGATAGAAATTTTTCTAAAACATTTAGAGCATAAATTAGTTCTGAATAATTAATAATAGATATTTTAAAATTACAGTTGAATACATAAGTGAGGATATTATCTCATCTGCAAATTCCTGTATTATTAAGAATAGGCTGATCAACCAGGTGCAGTGGTTCGTGCCTGTAATCCCAGCAATTTGGGAGGCAGAGGTGAGAGAATTGCCTAAGCCCAGCGATTTGAGACCAGCCTAGACATCTTGGCAAGACCTTGTCTCTACAATAAGTCACAAAAACTACCCAGGCATGGTAGCACATGTGTGTGGTTCCAGCTACTCGAAAAGCTGAGGTGGAACGATCACCTGAGCCCAGCAGGTCGAAGCTGAGGCGGCCGTGAGAGTGCCACTGCACTCCAGCCCTGGGTGTTAGAGAGGTTCCAACTCAAAAAAAATAGGCCAATTATAATCCAGTAAGTTTAGAATATGGCACTTTAGAAAAATGTCCTACTTTCAAGCATACAAGCCTATTACATTTTTTAAATAATAGATTACTATTAGTTGAGTGCTTTGGTCTACAGGCTTACCCAGAGTTGATAATTACTGGTTGTGAGTCTTGATTGGATTTATTGCAGGCCACTTGCTTCTTGTCCTCATTCTGTGTGTATACTGAGTTAAGTAATTGAGTATTAGCAAACTGGCATCACATGTGAGAGAGAGAGATGCTTTTCATTTGGGTGAGAAACTAGTCTTTCTAGCCTCTGCATTTGATGGGGATGGGGTGGGAAATGGAATAGTAGAGCGTGGCTTACCGTTTACTGCTGTTATTACCAATTTGGGATGCTTCCTGGTGCCAAGTGTCTGGGATAATGTCTCAGCATAATGTCATGAGGAGAGCAGAGGGTCAAGAACCAAGAGATGCAGTTCCGCTTGCCATTCACTAACACTGTGACCGTATCAAACTACTTAACTTTTTTAACTTTAACTTATTCTTGTATGAAATGAGATTAGTGACCTGCTCTATCAACTTATCCCACAGAATTGTTGGAGGATCAAGTGAAACCAGGGTTAAAAAAAACCTTTGAGAACTTGTTAATGGTGTGAGGTCATATGGATCTGTAGTGCCACCTTATATGGGCTTTTCTTTCCCCCTGGGAAAATGGGTGGAATTGTGATATCTGACTGATTTTTAAATTCTTCATAGATTAAAGAGATGATTTTGTTAGAAAGCTTTCTGATGATGGTTCTATCTGGACAAAAGAAAACAGCGAAGCATCTGTTTTCACTAGAGCATGAATAATTTCAGTAAGAAGTATTCATCACCTGTGCTTTGCTTTTCAGCTTGGAATCCCATTCACTGCCAGCACATTGAATGCCACAACGCAATTAACAAACCAGCTGTGAAGGTACTGTTTTATTAGAACTGGTGTTGTACTGTGTTGTCAGTGGTCAACTTATCAGGAGCAAATTGCTAAATGAAGTAGATTGCATCCTACTCCATAAAGCAGAAGTCTGTCTTCTGTAGTAATTTCAAACACCTCCATGTTTTATCTGATTGTGCTTTGATGTCCTGGGTGGAGACAGAGCAATAAACAGCTGTGTCTTCAGGTTTGAGCTATGAGTTAATAGGCAAGTGCCATGTAATACTACGCTAATATCGGAAAAGTCCTGTGAAGTACTTACATAGTCGACTCTTAACTGGCGTCCATCTCAGCTAATGAACCAGTTTTTTCTCTGTTTTCATGTGCCTGCTACAAATCAGGAGTACTTATGCAAACGTAAGACCTGTAGGATAGAAATGGATTATTTTGTTAATTCTTAGCACCTACCACAAATACGACTTAGTTGAGATGACTGAGAGGTGTTGGACAGCATACATGTGGAGAGGTGCATTATGGTCAGGAAAGAGTGGTTCATAGAGTCAGGTTCTTTCTCAAGTTTACACAGCAGTTAGTGTCAGAAATGGATTCAGAAACAGGTACCCTGACTCCCAACCTTATTCTCTTTCTGCCACATCAAATCAGTCATCCTGTTATCATCCTGAACATTAAGAAAAATAATTACCCCTTTTAACAGTATTGCTCATGATGTATTTGTTGGACACAGAATAGTTGGCTGGATGGACCTGTGTCTGGGTTTGCAAGGGTTAGTTTTTATATTATGGAAAGTGAGAGTTAGCTGAAGTTTTTAGAGTTCACAGTTACTAATGTCGTGGGAATTTGTTTCCCTTGTTCTATAGACTGTAAAAATTACTAAATAATTTTAAAATAATACTATCATTTTATAGAAACAAACTAGAAATTGTGAAAAGAAATCTAATAGATATAAAAGGAACCAAAAATGTGTTTCATTTACCCAAAGTGGCAGAGAAATGCTAATAATAATATTGTCCTCTAGATACGTCCTCCTAACAAATGGCATCCCCATATTGTCACATTTAATATTTGCTTTGCATAAAGGCAGATTGAATACATTTATGTTGAGACAGGGCATGTGACCGTGTGAGTAAATTTCTCTGGTGTAAAGATATGTTGGGCTACACATATGTGAGTCCACGTTTTATTCAGCTTGATTCTTCAGTGCTGAGACTTCCATGGCTCTCTTTTACTTTTGCTTTTATGCCCTTCTTTTCTTCTTCCTACCTAAGTCACAGCTCCCTCTTTCTTTGGGAAGGGACAAAAGTGTTTTCTGAGTTTTGTTTTATTTATTCATTTATTTGAGTTGTGGGTACATGTGAGGGTTTGCTACATAAACAAGTTGCGTGCAGGTGAGGGCTAGGTTTCTAGTGAGCCCTCTCTTCCCCCTGGTGCAGGAGAGGGCTGAGTTTATATTGAGTCCTCTCCTCTCCAGTGGTGGGTGTGGTACTCATAGTGGTTGTGTGCTCCTTATCTTTCTTCCCACCGTCCCTCCTTTAGCAGTGCCCAGCATTTGTTGTTCCTACCTTTGCATTCACATGTCCAATGCTTAGGGCCTGCTTATGGGTGAGAACATGTAATTCAGTTTTTTGTTTCTGTGATAGTTCACTTAGAATGACATCCGGTTGCATCCATGTTGCTGCAGAGGACATGATTTTGTTCTTATTTATGACTGCACAGTATTCTATTGTATATATGTGCACATATGTGCTACGTTTTCTTTACCTAGTCCACTTCTGTTGGACATCTAGGTTGGTTTTGTGTTTTTGCTATTGTGAATAGTGATACCGTGTATACACATGTGCACATGTCTTTTGGTAGAGCGATTTATGTTCCTCTGAGCATATTACCAGAAGTGGGATTGCTGGGTCATATGGAAGCTCAATTTTTAGTTCTTTGAGAAAATGCCATACTACTTTCCATAAAGCCTGAGCTAGCTTACATTCCCTTTTCTCCACAGCCTTGCCAACCTGCTGTTTTTTCCTCCAGATTGGAAAATATAGTTTATTTAGAAAGTATTAATATGCTTTCTCTAATATCCTTACTTTAATGAGAGAGAAAGAGAGAGGAGAGATTCAAGGTAGGGGAGGGAGCCAAAGACAGGAAACATGGCAGCCATAGCTCAAAGAGACACATGGACACCTCAGAGTTTAGGAAAGCCAGAGTTGCTTTTTGACTTTTTAATGAGAGCCATTCTGATGGGTGTGAGGTAACGTCTCATTTTTTTATTTGTATTTCTCTGTAGTTTTTATTTGTATTTCTCTGATGATTCGTGAGGCTGAGAATTTTTTCATGTTTGTTGACTGCTGGAATGTCTTCCTTTGAAAAGTGTCTGTTCATGTTCTTTGCCTACTTCTTAACGGGGTTAGTTTTTCCTGTCAATTTGTTTGAGTTCCTTCTGGATTCTGGATCCTAAGCCTTTGTTGAATGCATAGCTTGCAAATATTTTTTCCCATTCTGTGGGTTGTCTCTTAACTCTCTTGATAGTTATTTTGCTGTGCAACAACTTTAGCTTGATAAGGTCCCACCTTTAGATTTTGCTGCATTTGCTTTTGAGGACTTGGCTTTGAATTCATTGCCTATTCTGATGTCCAAGAGGATGTTCCCTAAGCTTTCTTCTAAGATTCTTAAAGTTTGTGGTTTCACATTTAAGTCCTTGATCCATTTTTAGTTAATTTTTGTGTATGGTGACAGGTAGGGGTTCGGTTTCATTCTTCTGCACGTAGTTATCCAGTTTTCCCAGCACCATTTGCTAAATATGAGTTCCTTTCGCCAGTGTTTGTTTTTGTCAGCTTTGTCAAAGATGAGTTTGTTGAAGGCCCATGGTTTTATTTCTGGATTCTCTGTCCTTTTCCATTGGTCTGTGTGTCTGTTTTTGTACCAGTACCCGGCTGTCTTGGTTACCATAGCCTTGTCGTAAAGTTTGAAGTCTGGAAGTGTGATTCCTCCAACGTTGTTCTTTTTTGCTGAGGATTGCTACTTTCTGTCATTTTTGTTTTAATTGTGGTCTAATTCATATAACACAAAATTAATCACTTTAAGATGATCAATTCAGTGGCATTTAGTACATTCACAATATTTTCCAATGCCACCTCTGACTAGTTCCAAGTCTTTTTTTTTTTTTTTGAGTCAGAGTCTCCCTCTGTCACCAAGGCTGGAGTGCAGTGGCGCACTCATGGCTACTGCCTCGACCTGCTGGGCTCAGGCAATCCTTTGCCTCAGCCTCTCAAGTAGCTGGAACTACAGGCATCCACCACCATGCCCAGCTAATTTTTTTGACTTATTGTAGAATGAGGTCTTACCAAGTTGCCCAGGCTGGTCTTGGGCAATCCTCTCACCTCCACCTCCCAAAGTGTTGGGATTATGAGCTACCACGCCCAGCCCAAGACATTGTCATCATCCCCCAAATCTTATTTTCTGAACTCCAGTTTTCCTAAAAGCCTTTATTTTTTGTTTTCATGCCACATTTGTCCAAAAAGAGAAATTACTGTGTTTGCCACTTTAGAGAATGAATCACTACAAGGAATGTATATCCACTTTGAGTAGCCATTGAGCAATATGATTTTGCAGTCCAACAAGTTTGGCTCCATGTTCTTCCATTACAATGTGAGTGCACCCAAACCCACACCATCTGGGCATGATATGCACATCGAGGGTATCTAGCATCTAAATGCTGATGAAATAATGTTAGATGAAAAGAAAAGTTCAGCCGGCCCGGTGGCTCAGCCTGTCATCCCACCACTTTGGGAGGCTGAGGTGAGTGGATTGCCTGAGCCCGCGGGTTCAAGACCCACCCGGGGAACTTGGTGAGACCTCATATCTACAATAAATCAAAAAAGCCGGGTGTGGTAGCGTGTGCCTTTAGTTCCAGCTACTTGGAAGGCTGAGGTTGAGACTGCGGTGGCCGGGAGCGTGCCACTACACTCCAGCCTGGGCGACAGAGTAAGATTCCAACTGAAAAAAAAAGGAAAGTTATTAAATTTTATAGTATGATGCTGATTTAGTTTAAAAATTACTCATATTCATACTCAGTGAAAAACAACCAGTAAGCCAGATGTGGTAGCATGCGCCTGTAGTTCCAGCTACTTGGAAGGCTAAGGCGGGAGGATCTCCTGAGCCCAGCAGGTCAAGTCTGCGGTGGCCATAAGCATGCCACTGCACTCCAGCCTGGGTGACAGAGTGAGACTCCAACTCAAAACAAACAAGCAAACAATAATACCCTTCAAAATGATACCAGGGGTTGCATTGAACTGGCGAGTTAATGTTGTTTGAGTTTTCTTCTTTCCCTTTCCCAGTTTTTCTAAGCCCCAACATTGGACATATGTTGTATTTATAAACAGAAAAATAACCACTTTTAATATGATAGCCAGATGTGAATACATTGGAATGGGTGTAAACTGACTTGTTCAGAGTAAAAAGAACTGACAGGACCAGCTACAAGTCTGATGGATCTTGTTAATAAAGTAATTTAACAGATCAGTCATAATCTAATGACTATAGTTCTAACATTCGAAGAGTTGTTTGGGGTTTTTTGAGTGGACTTTAAAAGTATCTTTACCTGGGAGAGGTATCGTGACTCATCAGAAAAGAAGATAAAGTCCCAGTACTTAGGAGGACATCTACACGGGGTGCGTGGGAAAGACTTAGGAAAAACAGATTAATCCTTACCAGAAAAGCCCAGTAGCTCCATAATAGTGAGCGAGGCACTGATGATTTCCAGACAGAAAAGCATTATTTACTTTTGTTGCAGAAAATCTTTTTTAGGCAGGAGCCAAGAGCTGTGATAGGATTAAAGACAAAAATATGTTGGAACCTCAAGTTCTTTATGTCACACTCTGCTTTCGGTTTTGCTAGCTTCTGTTTGATGCCTACTTTATGAAATACTTTGGAGGCCAGATAATTGCCTAAGGCAAGGCTGGCAAACTATGGTCTGTGGCCACATCTGGTCTGTTGCCTTTCTTTGTAAATAGAGTTTTACTACAACACAGCTATGCGCATTTGCTTACATATCATCTGTGGCTGCTTTCCTGCTACAACAGTGGAGTTTAGTTGTGGTAGAGATTGTGGCCCACAAAGTTTAAATTATTACAGAAAGGTTTGATAATCCCTGACTTAACACACCAAAAAGTCATTATTCATTCCACTAAGGAAGCATGAAACATGGTAGAAAAATTTTCACAGTGGCCTTTACCATCAGAGAACACAAAATTTACGAATTTTGATGGTGTACATATCTAAAGTTAACAATTCTAGTTAACAGTTGTTTTCCCAATCATTGAAACTCCTCTGCATTTTAACTTTGAATTACAGCCTGTTCGCATTATAAAGAATTTGTGTGTTAGGCACCTTAGCTGCATACACAGCTGTAGCATGGGTGGATTATTTCTTTGAGGAGAGGGACAGAATCCAAAGTGCTTTTGATAAATCTTAGAAATTAAAACTGATGCAAAGTGTAAAATGCAGTCAGTCATCTGAATGTTCGGTTCATTTGATTTAAAACATCCATGCACTTGAAATATCCTGATGATCAACTGTGATGTTAACACTCTTCATCTCTGTGCTTAGGCTAATGAAACCCAGTCATAAAGAACAAGGCACAGCAGCGGTAAACAAATTATAGGTCAATGTAGAAAAAAAGAAACGTGAAAATGAAAGGTTGAAGACTGTACTTTCAGGGATCATTTCTATAGTTCGTTACTAGAGAAGTTTCTCTGATAGTGTAGAGCGCCGAAAACCAAGAGGAGGGGGTACAGCATTCTCTCCTGAGCATGAAGCTGGCTCTTGTGTTGTTTTCCTGCAACTGCCATTTGCTATATCGAGAGCAGATCGTTTGTTCTTGCTTTCCTTTGGGGAAGTAAGAGGGAGAGTGTGCGGTCGTTAAAAAAAAAAAGAAAATGAAAGGTTGGATGACTGATATAGTACTGAGATTGCAGAGTAAGAAAACGAACCACTCAGTGTTAAATTTAATGCTGACTTTTCTGAATAAAGTGTATCTTAAGAAGCAAAAATCTCTACTGCCAGCATTTTGGTATCAGTTATGTTTTTGAAATCTTAATAAATATTCATTTCTCTAAAGAGAAATGACTGTGTTTACCACTTTAGAGAAGGAATCACTGCAAGGAACATATAGCCAATTTGAGTAGCCACTGAACAAGATTTTTTTTTCTTCTAATCCTTGTGGAATGAGGGTGGATTTCTTGACACTGTTTGTTACTTAAATGGCAAATTACAGGGAAATTGAGAACCACAGTAGCCTTATTTAAATCCCCAGTGTGAACTCATCAGTCAATGCAGAAAGAACAGTTCTAGGTTAAAAGGTTTTTACTAAAAATAGCTATTCTACTTTGCTTTTGAAAATCTGTCATTATCGAAGCGTCTGTGCCCAGAATGTTAGGGAATGTGTTCACCAGGAGCAGGAGAGTTCATTTTGTCTTTTCATGTGTTTCAGATGTGTATAGACCCTTCCCTGTCAGTAGCTCTGGGTGATAAACCACCCCCGTTGTACCTCTGTGAAGAATGCAGCGAGAGGATTGCAGGGTAGGTATGAGAGTCCCTGAGGAAAGGAAAACAAGGCAACAATGAGAGGTTGGTTTGCCTGCTGTTGAACACACAGCAAATCTTGCATGGAAGATTTCAGCTTTGATAAGTTGCAGTATTTCTCTTAACGTGACTTGAAAAGAAAGCAATTCCACTTCATAAAGCAGCTCCAATTTTGAAGTAACCCTATTAAGAAACCACAGAGAAAAAAAAATAGGGGGGAAAAAAAACTGTGGCTTCCCAGCATGACATACAAATCATGCAGATTCTCTTTGCTTGTTAGTTTCACAGACAGACACGCTCAACTTTGTACAGATCATGCAGTATTTTGTTGACTTAATTAGCATCTGGAAAGCATCATTTAAAAATAACTGAATATGATGAAGTGCCTATACTTTATAATTTAGCTGGAATGTATTAGACATTTTAAGTTTATTATGATAGTGTCTTAATTAAACTTGCTTTCTATTAAAAGCCTGTGAGCAATAGTCCACAACTTATAAACATTCATGTCGAAGGGTAACATTTCAATGAAGCTCAAAAATGAATTTTGTCTTTTTTAAAATAGGGAACACAGTGAGTGGCTGATTGATGTTCTTCTGCCACAAGGTATGGTTTACTTCGGAAAGGATGAATAATGAATCATCCTGCCTGATGTCGTGGCTGATTGATCTCCCTTTGTGCTGTTGTACAACCAAAGTATTATATTCTATGAATATTCATTGATATGAAGCCTTGTATCAATGTCTTGCTTTTAATATACCCACACATTCAACCATGAGGAAACTGGTATCATCTTCACCAAAATTAAAGGTGTATGTTGAGTTAGGGTTCCGTATGACTAAAGCTCTGCTGAAGTATGTCTTTTTTTTTTGAGTTGGAGTCTCACTCCGTCACCCAGGCTGGAGTGCAGTGGCACATTCACGGCCACCTTCGGCATCAACCTGCTGGGCTCTGGCGATCCTTCCACCTCAACCTTCCAAGTAGCTGGAACTACAGGCGCATGCTACCATGCCCAGCTCATTTTTGATTTATTGTAGAGACAGGTCTCACCAAATTGCCTGGGCTGGTCTCCAGCCCTTAGGCTCAGGCAATCCACTCACCTCTGCCTCCCAGAGTGCTGGGATAGTAGGCTGAGCCACCAAGCCCAGCCTTTTTTTTTCTTCTTTGAAGTATGTCTTAAGGGTTTTTTTGTATACATAACAGTTGTTGTCTACATGCTGTGCCAGGTTAGAAAGGGAAAAGGAACACCAGCTGGGAGAGAAGTGAATAAGGGGCCTTTTCCCTGCCGCTATTATTAGCCCTGTGCTTTGGGGGAAAATCATTTAATTGCTCTGAGACTCAGTCTTCTGAACAGTAAAATGGGGATAAAGTATCCGTAACCGATCTCAATGGAAAGACAAAATCGCAGTGCTTCTTGAAGTTTTGAAACTATGCTCTAACACATTGGTAGGTCCCACACAGAGCACTCCTCTTCACGTTGGAAAAGCATGTATTCTAGCCATGTAATTGGAGGCTGAAATGACAAGGAAAAGGACTAAGCAGAGGAGAGACAAAAGGTAGAAAAGACTGAGGTCAAATTGAGCACAGCCCAAGGACACAGGAAGAACTAGATACCTGACCTCGGATATAGACAATAAAAGGATCCATACGAAAGGCCCATTAAGGAAACGTAGGAACCTTAAGGCAACTAAATTCTGTGAATTGTTCTTTTAACTGAAGAACTTTGCTTGATGATAATGACACTATTTCTTTGTAGTCCCACTTTTATATTAAGTAATTGCAACCTTAGACAGAAATGAATTTAGCGAGTACAAGGCCCCTGGAAAATAGAGCAATAGTATCAACCTCTATATCTTTTATTATTATTTTTTTTCCAAGTGGGAGTCTCACTCTGTCGCCCAGACTGGAGTGCAGTGGCATGCTCCCGGCCACCGCAGCCTCGACCTGCTGGGCTCCGGCGATCCTTCCGCCTCAGCCTTCCAAGTAGCTGGAACTACAGGCGTGCGCTACCACACCTGGCTAATTTTTTGATTTATTGTAGAGATGAGGTCTCGCCAAGTTGCCCAGGTGGGTCTCAAACCCGCGGGGCTCAGGCAATCCACTCGCTTTGGCCTCCCAAAGCGTGGGATTACAGGCTAAGCCACTCAGCTGGTCAACCTCTATATCTTTCAAAGAGACTTTCTGAAAATTTATACAACAATATCTACAAAAAGATTTGGAATTGTATAGGTTGAGATTTTTTTTGTTGTTGTTAAATTGGGCTACTTTATTTGTGAACTTCCAGTGCTCTGAGGTAAAACCCATAGTTTAGTTCTAAAATACGTTTTAAGTATTAGATATGTTGCTGAATTCTGGTCATTATCTCAAGATAATATTCATCTTTGGAAGAAGATTGGTATTAATTTTTCATTATTTATTTATAGATATAATATTAACCTCAGATTATTTAAGGTAAAATCTAGGATATTAAGTTGTTAAGTAATATTAATTATGCACACCAGTTTTTAAAACTGAGTTGTAAATTTCACTGATTTGGCATCCACTGATTCATAATTTCCAGACAGGGTTTGGGAGACATTTACTTTTGATTGTTTAAATAAATTGTAACATAGATTATGTGAAAAGGAAGGTCTTAGTTCATTTTTTGAGCACTTACCATTTCAGGGTACATGTTAACAGATTCTTGGAAAAATTCTATCTTTAGCATAAATGTTATACTCTTAAGCATAAATTTTCAGGGAAATAATTGATGTGCCCACTAAAATAATTATTATCCATTCATTAAAGTCAATCTTGTAAGCAGGCAGTAGTTTGACAGTCTTGTTCCAATAGGTGTATGCATGGTTTGAAAATTTCTTTATCTTAAGTGACACTGCAGCCAGTTTTACACTAATTGAGATGATAAAAATGGATACGTCAAGCCTCAGTAGTCCAAACCAGTAAGTTTTCCCTACAGTTTTGATATGGCAAGCCATCTCATATCCCATCAGCCCAATGTCATTGTATAATGCAAAGAGCAGCAAACAGGGAGTCTGCAGACTTTAGCTCTGAGTACCTCTACCATTGATAGCCTGTGTGATCTTGAAGAACTCATTTAGCCACAGTGGCCCTCAGTTTTGCCTTCTGTAAAATGGAGAGGTAAGAATAACATGTTTACTTTAACATGATCTGATTTCTAAGTCATGTCTGAAAAGATTGAATTACTTGTGAGAATAGCCGCATGTAGGTGTTTTTAAAACCATTAAGCATAAACTCTAAAATAATCACCAAACGAAAAAGAGATATATTTCATATTTTTGGAGGGATGCAGAAACCAATAAAAGGAGATGACTAAGAGGCAAGTCATAATCTGTTTTGACCGAGTATACTGGTTGTGTTACTAAACTTTTTTTTTAATGTCCCTTCATGGTTGCCTTTACTTAAAATAGGCTCTCCTTCTTTGTTGATATTTTGTGTACCTTTCCCTTACAGCTGAAATATCTGCTATATGTCAGAAAAAGGTAAGAGCAAGCCATCTGTGTGATGGGGCATGATTTGTTGTGTCTGTGTGAAAAACATTCATTGACACCCGCCTGCTTTCTGCCCCATGGTTTCCTAGTCTGTGCATGCCACTGCATTTGTGAAGGAGAAAGGAAATTATCTTAGCATGCAAGACTGCTGTGTTTACATGGTCGCTGTTTCCATTTCTGCTTTTACTCACCCATCTTATGAACAATGTTTTTGTTAAGCAATCTGAAATAAAAGCCTATGTGTAATTCTGGGATAAGAGTCTAATTACCAAAATGTTTGAATGATAGTGCAATTCGTGGGACCTAGCTTTAGTAAAGGATGTGTCTTGTGTGCTAAAAAATATTTACTGTTTTGATGTGGCATGCAAATAATCTAATTTACATGTGTAGAAAATATACTCAGATCGACTATATATGGACATATTCACGTTTATATAAATTGAATGATTCCTCCTCTAATATTTCCTTTAGTTACTTTTTATACTGGTTTCTCTAAACGGCTTTCATCTTCTCTTCTTGTTTTAGTAGTTGGCAAGTATAAGAGAAGGTAATATGGTATCATAAAGAGCTTCGACTGCGTGGTTGAGATCTGAGGTTCTAGCCCACTCTACCTATGTGGACTTTGCACAAGTCACTTACACTTTTTGGGAAGTTGATCATGGGTAGATAGATTTTGAGGGCTGTCTCGGACCACCCTGAAACCTAACAACAACAACCAATTCTTTGATCATAATTCTGGAGACTGGTAATCTGCCCTATGCTCAGCTAGGCAGTTCTTTTGATAAACAAATCTAGGCTCACTCATGTATTTACTGTCAGTTGTGGGTAGGCTGGAACTGTCTGGCGTCAGGTGGTTTCATTCCCATATATGGGGCCTTGGCTGGAATGTCTGGAATAATTCAGACGACTGGGGTGTCTGGGCCTTCCTGTTTTCATGGGGTGTCTTATCCTCCAGGTGGCTAGGCTGAATTTGTTCACAAGCAGTAATGTTCTGAGAGAGCAAGAGAGGAAGTTTCAAGGTCCCTTGAGACTGAAGCTCAGAAGTCATACAGCATCACTTCTGCATTCCATTGGCCAAAGCAAGGTCCATGGCCCACCCAGATTCAGAAAGACAAAAAACAGGGTTCTCCTGGTTGTAGAAGGAGTAGCAACAATCTTGTGGTCATGTTTAAACTACCACAATCCACCCACTGGACATAATGATTTACATTCTTTCCACATGCAGAGTATGTCACCTCTTTGCAAGACCCCCAAGTCTTACTCATTTGTGATTTCAGGCTTGTATCTGTGACCTGCATCTGATGTCTCATTGATTAAACTTCTTGGATACAAATTCTCTTGATTCAGAGACCTGTGAACTAAAAAGGAATGTTACTTGTCACCCATGCACCCAAGAAAACCTGGTCAGATAGAGGCAGGACGACAGCAAGAGACTGGTGTTCAAGGAGAGAGAAGAATCAGATGGCAGTCACTGGTCTGTGGCAGCTCCAGCTGCGAGCACACCACCAGCCCCTCATCTCAGGATGGCAAATATGCCTTGATCAGGATGTCATCTTGCTTCCCGGATGTGGGTCTCTAATCCATTCTTATTCTCCTGAGCATTTGGCTCCACTCCGAGACCACTTTCCTTTTTGGTAAGAAACAGCTCGTGTTGCATCTGGATTACTTTCTCAGTCTGCTTCCTGCGCAGAGAAGTTGGGGTCCCGCAGACCTTTTTTATTTTGAACTGCATCTGTTCACTTTAGTTTAGCTGGCAGTGCTCTTGCTAGTATAAATTTCCTGAAAACATTGTGGATTTTCAATGAATCTCAGTGGGGTTCTATGCCTCCAAAGCCACACTTGTAATTATTTTTGAGGCACTCCTTTCTATACTTTGGGCATGTTAGTATGCCTTTAATTATTCGAAGCCCTGAGAGACTTTTATCTGTGAGGCCTAATTAATCACTACCATTCTGAAGTCTTAACAAAGGATCTTACAGTCATACCACATACTCTTTCTTGGATCTTTATCCTGAGGCAGTTTCTTACTTTGAGAATCTTTTGCAAGCTTGAGAGACTGTGATTTGAAACAGTTTTGTTTTATTCTGTTCTATTCTAGTGAGACAGGGCCTTTGTCACCCAGACTGGCTGGAGTGCAGTGGTGCCATCATACCTCATTGCAGCCTCAAACACCTGGGTTCAAGCGATCCTCCCAAGTAGCTGGAAATGTAGAAGCATGCCACTGTGCCTGGCCATTAAAAAAAAAAAAATTGTTGTTTTTTGTTTTTTTTTTTTGGAGAGACAGGGGTCTCGCTTTTTTGCCCAGGCTGGTCTCGAAGCAGTCTTCCCCTCATGCCTCCCAAAGCGATGGGACTGCAGGTGTGAGCCACTGTTTCCCAGCCTTGAAGCAGTTGTATTTTCTAAGTCAGCATGTCCTGGCTCTGGTGGCGTACCTAGCATGTTTGACACCCAGAGCAGATGATCTTTTAGCACTTCCCCCCTTATATGACAAAATTATTTTTAGTAATAAGCTTCAAATTAGCACTTTTTTGTTTATTCTTTAAAATAAACATTGTAAGCCGGGCTCGGTGGCTCAGCCTGTAATCCCAGCACTTTGGGAGGCTGAGGTGAGTGGATTGCCTGAGCCCCCGGGTTCGAGACCCACCTGGGCAACTTGGCGAGACCTCATCTCTACAATAAATCAAAAAATTAGCTGGCGTGGTAGCGTGCGCCTGCAGTTCCAGCTACTTGGAAGGCTGAGGGGGAAGGATCGCTGGAGCCCAGCAGGCTGAGGCTGCGGTGGCCGGGAGCGGCCACTGCACTCCAGTCTGGGCAACAGAGTGAGACTCCAACTCAAAAAAAATAAAATAAAATGAACACTGTATTTTATATGGAAGTCAATTTGGAGAATTTTCATTCAATTCGTAACAGTTCAGAATTGTTTGAGCTTGCACTGGACAGTTTGTGTCTCTACCTTTTTTATTTTACATATTCTACATTTGAACAGTAGGTTTGAAATACGTAAGAGCATCATGATTGAAAAATGGGGACAAACTTTGAGTTATGTCACTTCTGTTATTCGATAAGACCACCTGGAGTTGTTTATATGTGTTAAAAATTCAAATCTGGAACAGAGTTGCTGGAGTGAACATTTGAAAACCATGCCCAGCTCAATCTGAATCTAAGGGAGATGGGCCTAATTTATTCAAAAAAAAAAAGAGAGAGAGAGAGAGACAAGCAACTTCCACTGCGCTGTATCCACTGCGCTGGGAAATGAATGTGCTGAGTGCATGGATTGAGAACTTTGAGATGTATTATTAAAACTTAGTAGGAGCCACAGCAATTATTTAGAACTTTGACCAAGCAAAGATTATTTCGGGGCAAGTATTTTTATTGCTGATGCTGTTTAGAATTAATGGCACATGAAAATAAAGCAGGCTGACTTTTATTTAGTGTTCCAGATATCATTATATGTAGTATATCCAGATACTCCATAATAAATTATTCAAATGTTACAGCATAAAATAACAACTATTTAATTATGTCACAAATTCTGTGGATCAGAGATTTGGATACAGCGCAGTGGAAGTTGCTTGTCTCTCTCTCTCTCTCTTTTTTTTTTTGAATCGGAGTCTCACTGTGTCACTCCAGGCTGGAGTGCAGTGGCACGCTCACGGCCACCCCAGCGTCCACCCTCTGGTCTCTGACGATCCTTCTGCCTCAGCCTTCCAAGTAGCCGGAACTACAGGCACGCACTACCATGCCCGGCTAATTTTTGATTTATTGTAGAGATGAGGTCTCACCAAGTTGCCCAGGTGGTCTCGAACCTGTGGGCCCAGGCAATCTACTCGCCTCGGCCTCCCAAAGTGCTGGGATGGCAGGCTGAGCCACCGAGCCTGGCCTGCTTGTCTCTGCTTAATGATGTTTGGGGCCTCATCTGGGAAGTCTTGAATAGCTGGAGACTGGAATTATCTAGAGGCTTCTGGATCATATGTTTGGGCTCTGGGATGGGGTGACTTGAAGATGAGGCTTAACCATGGTCTCTCCATGAGGCCTGGCTGCCTCACGGCACCGTGGCAGAGTTCTGGATGAGTCTTTAGTGAGGAGGTTTTGGAAGAGGGAACATCCCAACAGCCAGGTGGAAGCTGTGTGTCCTCTTATAAGCATCACTGGTATCGTACTCTTGGTTGAAGCAGCCCCAAGCCCATCTAGGTTCAAGGGGAAGGAGATAAGCCCCACTCTTTGACGGGAAGCGTGTGGAGGACCCTTCGCTGGTCACAAATTATGTACATTCTTCCCACGTGCAAAATCCCGGTGGGAGGTCCCCTGTCTTCTCATCAAACTCGGGTTCAGATGTAGATGAAGACCTCTGGGTTTGGCTCCTTAGATATGCTTCCTCTCGCTGGGAATGAAAGAGACACTCTCTGCCACCCGCAGAGCCAACATACATAGGAATGGGATTACCGCGGCAGACATGTGAAAAGTGAAGGAATGAGAGACACAGACTCATCGGTCCAGAGAAACTGTGAAATTCAACAGCACTTGATGTGGCTTGTTTCTTCGTTGGGCACCGGTCCCGCTTCCTGGGAGCTGATGTCTTTGGCGCTTGGCTCCACCTCTGGGAGGAGCCTGTCTTTCTTTCTCTTAAAAAGTAGTCTATTGTTTAGAGCCAAGTAGTTTTATGAGCTTGCTTTTTGCTCATGCAGGTTTGAAAGTCCAGAAACATCTTCTTTTGGGGCTATCTCTGTCCTTTTCCATCCACAGTGGTGTAATTCCATTAAAAAACATTGTGGGCTTTTATGTATCAATATATAAACCTCCTTCGTGAAACACAAGTCTGATGCACAAACCTCTTTGAGATAAGTCCTTCTATGTTTTGCACTTGCTCTGAGGCTGCTGGGAACAACGCTTTAAGAGTCTTAGAACCCTCGTTATTTAACGAGGAGTATGGTGAAGTCTTTGTCGCAAGAGTCTAAGATGTGACTTAATAAATTCTGAGTGCTTAACACACAAAGGATTTTTTGTTCAAGCCCTTGTCATCGTTTTTCCCCGAGACCACATTTTCCTGATGGGGCCGGCCCCAGAGTGAATGTTTGCCCTGAACCTTTTTCTTACCTTGAGAACCCTGTGCTGACTGGAAAGACGGTCCTGAGCTCAATGTTTTCCCTTTAAATTCTAGTTGAAGGCAGAGTCATTCGTTATTTCTCTCTCTCTCTCTCCCCTCCTGTGCTGGGTTCATAAAGGCTTAGGGCGCTATGCCCCCTAAGGGGTCCACATCGTCACAAGCACTGCCGGAAGACTGGCCAGCGCTTCCGACACAAACACACTGGGCATGTGGGGCGGCATCCCCAGCAGGCTTCGAGCGCTTTGCTTTTTGTGCCATCGGGGTGTTCCTGGCGGGCCTCGGGCTGCGTTACCTGGGTGCCGGCCACGCCTCGCCGTGGGCAGTGGTCTCCCTGGCCTTCGGACCCCTCTTACCTGCACCGCCGTTCTCGTCGCCACCCCCTGCTGCCCCTTTCGGTGGTCGCGCTGACCCGGGGCGTGGTTCTGGCCCTGCACACCCGGTGGTCTTCGCAGAGTGCGGGTGGAGGAGCGCCCTGCCTTGGGGTCAGGCCCTCAGCACAGCACGCTCCGTCCTGTCCCGGGTGTGGCAGGGTCGGACGGGCGGCGGGTAA